ATTAAAGCCAAACTTTTTTTTCTTAGAATTTTTTTATTCTCTCTCTTTCCTTTTCCGTTTCTCTTTGCAAAAATGATTTCTAGCCACCAAATTCTGCAAAAGTCCACCGAGAGTTCGTTAGTTCATTGAAAAGTTATCAAAATCTAGAAATATTCATAGGGATCTAGGAAACTTGTCAAAAAATTTGTTGAAAACTAGAATTCTCATCGAAAACTAGAATTTTTGTTGGAATCTTGCCAGAAAGTTTGAATTTAGTCAAAAAATTTAATCAAAAAATTCAAAGAAACCTAAAAAATTCTAGAAAGTTTGTAAAATATTCCTTTTGGCAAAATTCGACCTTCCAACATTGTTTCTTCTTCTAATTCTCTCCGATTTCAAAAAAAAAAAAATTACAAACACTTTTGCAATCCAAAATCCTAATTTTTCTTGCTTTCAATAATTTTTTATTCTTCCTCTTTATCCTTTGGTGTTAATTGCAGTATTATTTATAAGGAAAAATAACAAGAATTTTTTATCATCTAGGATTTAATTTTTAAAATTTTGCATTATCATGAAAAAAATTAACATTTATGTCTAGGAGTTCAAACTCAAATCCAATTTTGATAACTTTATCACTAAACTTCATCACTGACCTTGATTTTTAATCATTTAACTTTTTCTTTTTAAATTATCTCTTATTTTATCCATGAGATAAACTAAATAGAAAAAACAATGACTAATGATAAATATAAATAGAATACAAAAACAATAACAAGATAAATAAATAAAGTAAAGATAAATATATATATATATATATATATAAAAAATGAACATAAATTCATCAAAAAAGATAAAGTGAAAAATCAAATAGAATAAAAATAAAAATCCTAAATCCAACAATTTGGTTTGAAAAGGTCTAGATCCAATTGGTTTGGCCCTAAACTAAATAAGTATCTACAGTGGCATATCTTTTTTTTTTTTTTTTCATTTTCTTTGTTTTTTAAAGCTTGTTTTTTTTGTTTCTTTGTTTTTTCTTTAAGCTTATTTACTTTTATTTTTTATTAGATAAATTTTATAATAAAAATGTCAATTAAGACAGAGATGACAAAATAATCCTGTATTCAATGGGTTTTTATTCATCAATATCTAATTAGTGTACTTTCTTTTAATTTGAAATAATTGGGTTGAGTTTTTTTTAAATTGAACCCTTGTCAAAATAAGGCTTTACGTGTTATGCCTCGACCTTAATATATATATATATATATATATAATATTTTTATTGTTTATTTAATTTTATATTTATATATTATTAAAAAATATTATTTAATACTTTAATTTAATAAATTGACGTGCCATCTTATTTGGGAATTTTTTGTCATTTTTTAAAACTTTTATTTATTGGATAAATTTTGTAAAAAAAAAAAATTTCAATGGATGTAAATATGAGAAAATAACTTATATTCGATGGGCTTTAATTCGTCATGATCCAACTAATATTTTAAAAATAAAGATTGGGTTAAATTTTACTTCTTTGAATAATTTGAGTTAAGTTGAGATTGGATTTAAAGTGATCTATCCCAACCCTCCTAGAGATATATAAAAAAATAAAATTTATCATTTATTTAATTTATATTTATATATGTATTATATTAATAAAAATATTATTTAATATCTTAATTTAATAAAAAATTATATTAATATATAATTAAGTCATAATTTATATTAAAAAAATAAATACACTTATATGTATATCATCCATTAAAACTTAATATAAAATTTTTACTTTTCTTATATTTAAAATATAATTTAAAAAATAAAAAAATTATCCCGAAATGTGAATCTAATTTTAATATTTTTAATTAGTAAAGCTTTTACACCTTGTAACGGATTTAAATTATTGAGATCTTGTTTGTTTAGTTTTTTTAATGGAATCGATATTAAAATTATTTTTTTTTTAAGAACAAAGTTAATTAAATTATTACCTCCAAATATAATAAATTAATTTTCATAAAAAAAAAACCATATATGACCATCAAATTTTCATTAAGATTACCGGATATGTACTTTGTTAACTCAATTTATCTATTTAACAATAAAGATTATTATACAAAGTAATGTTTTTACGATGCTCTAAAAATAATAAATAAGATTGTCAACTATTATATTTAATATAAAATTATTATTATATTATAAATAATATATTTTTTATAAAATTATAAGTATAATATTATGTTCATAAATAATTAATAAATAAGAAATCAAATAAATTAATTAAAATATTACTAAACAGATTTAAAATAAAAACCATACATAATAAAACTTAAATCTAAAATATCAAAATTTTAAAATATGTTCTTTAGTATTAAATCAAAGTTTCATTTATTGTTATGAATAATATAATGATGAAGCTTAAATAATGCTTAACGGCATTATACATTCAAACCCAATAAACAATTAAAATCGGAAAACGCAGAGGGAAACCAGGGAGGTGTGGAGAAGGCGGAGGCACTAATGCCATCGTGATTAATGCATTGGATAGCATTGGGACTCGTGTGCAGGCTTCCGTCACCAAGAATCTAGCCTCCCGTGTGCTAGTCAAGAAAGCCAAGCCATCTTATTGAACAAGTAATTAATGCCTTCTCAGGTGGGCCCCCGCCTTCTCCTTTTTACCTGATTTCCTCCTTCTCTTTCATTTCCTTTCTTCAATCGATTTTTTTTTTTATTTTGAAAAAAAAAATTCTATTATAAAAGACCAATAGTGACTTGCCATGTGGCATTCAATGAAAATTTTATTCAATTTTTTAATTTCACTCATGTAGCATAATTTTATTTATTAAAATATCTTGAGAGCAAGTTTGAGTTAATAATATTAAATTTTAAATTAATATGACGTATTTAAAAAATTTATAATATAAAATTGGATACTTCTTTTAATTCAATATTAAATTACATATTTAATTAAAGTTCGACTGTCAAATATGTAATTACTTCTTTAGAATAAAATTTAGTCTTAGGAGAAATAGTGCTAGACATTCCAAGTGCTCGAATTGCGACGGAGAAGTGGAATCAATCCTCTATTTAATTAGAGATTAAAATTCTTCACAAACCATTTGGTACAACGGGTTGCATGACTAGATGTTGGATCATTTCAACTCTACGGAGTTGGATGAGTGCGCATATTTTCATGGTAGAGAATGACGTTCCTTGGCCAGTTTGTTTTGATTTTGTGTGTTGGCAACAGGACGGTGTGTGTTCGATGAAGGTTTCAATTTGGACAGGGATTGGGATTTGTAAGATTACACTATAGGTTGATTTCCTTGCTGATTACTTAATTAGCAAGCGTGGCACTTGAAGCGGGTTTGAAACGAATGTTCTTGTGATTCGTTCTTAATCATTTGGTTGATTCAACATCTTTTACGTATAGCTAGCTAGGACAAGGGCCTCTTCTATGTAAACGGTTTTAACCGCTATTTTGCGTTAAAAAAACTACTGCTTACAGGCATACCACCTCAGCCACTTGGCATGTATATGCACAGGCAAGGAATCATCAGGATTTTTAGTTTTGGGATGCAAGTATTCAATAATATTAAAGTTTAATCTTTTTATGCTAAATAATGAACCCATTTACACTATATATAGATTTTTTTCCTTTTTTTTTCTAAGCAAAGTGCAATTTAATTTTTGTGGTGTTAGAGCATAGCGAATTAAAAAGTTTAGTTTCACAAATAATTACATGTACAAATAGAAATTGCAATCATAGTCAATAAAGTTCAATATTACTATCACATCATATAAAAATTACAAAAAAAAAAAAAAAGACAAATCAACATATATTAATCTAACATAAAATGGAATTAAACATATCTACATGAAATTTGCATTTTAATTTCAATATTTCATGATCACTTCCTTACCACCGAGACAAGGGTTTATTGGCACTAATTAAGCTATATATTTAGCTTGTAGTAATTAATCTCATTTAGTTAAAATTCATTATTTTACAAATATTTTTAGTTTATTTCCTTCACAAATTCATTTTAAATTCTCACATGATCACTTTTTCTTTTTGCATATATGTTTTAAGTTGTCTTAATTTAATGGGGCAAAAGCAAGAAATTTTCAAAACTTTGGTGCCTTTTATAATGACCTTTAAAAGTTCGATATGTATATATAAAAAAAAAAAAAAAACATTTAGCTCAATGAGCTGAATTCAAGTTTTATCTGATCCCAATTTCCATTCTTGTCTTTCTTTTTCCTTTTCTCTCATTTTGTTTTCATTTCTTTTTCTTAAAAACTAATTGTATACTTATTATAAGTGTGATAATCATATGTTAATCGTATCGTTTCGGAAGTTAATTATATGTTTCATTCCCTTTCTCTTCGTTCCTCTTCTAAACAAAGTTATTTTATTATATTGGTTTTCACATCTTAATAAAAAATCCTTTTTGTTCCGAGAATATTTTAGAATTGCAGCCCCTAACAACTAGGTTTTTTGTTTTAAAAAACTCCTATCAATTAGTTTAGGTTCACCGTGAACATGAGAGTTCCAAGTCACTTTCCTTACGCTTAATTAATTAAAACATTGATCATAACCGAAAGCCTAGTGTTCATCTCATGATGTGACTTTTGTAGTGGTTAGGAACACTTAGTTATTCAAGTAATTAACAAAAACCTACTGTTGGGGGACGTTCATCTCATGGTGTGACTTCTTAGTGGTTAGCAAGTGTTAGTTGTTGAAGTAATTAACAAAATTATTAGTCAAATAAGCATATATTGATAGAATCATAGAATTTTGTTTTGGATAAATTCAAATATAAGGTCTAACAATTAAAGAGTAAATTAACTAATTCATAAATTAAATTTTATAATTAAGCTAATAATTACATAATCGTGTCAGGAAATATCAAAATTTGAAACAAAAATAATGGAACCCATAATATTATGTTTATATAAGGTAACATCATGATCTCTATTTTCCCACAAATTCTGTGATTCTCTTAAAAATCAATCCTAATGGCAATAATTGTTAAGGTCAGTAGTTGAAAATGAATAGAGAATGATTGACGGAATTATGTCCAAAAACAAAGTCCCAAGCATCATCGAAGAACCCTATACCCGCAACACGGAAGACCAATTCCTAACATCACAGGTTCAGACATCCTAAAAGTAACACGTGTTTGGGTCTGTTTGGCTTCCCCCAAGCCAGAATAAAACGTGTTTGAAAACAAGAATTTGAGACAGACCAGCCCTTGAATCATCTATGAAGTTGTCGTTTTGCTTTTGATTGACCAACGCGCAAACCACCTTCCTTTAATTAATGGTTGGCGGCCAATATTTGGGGACTTTCTTCTCAAAGTCCAAGTTCATATTACTTAGGCTTTTTAAGTACACCTATACCAGCATGTTCTGGCTGGTACAAACTATTTCTTCATTATTTTTATTAATCAAGATATCAACGTATTAAACGTTGATTACTTATTTAAACTAATAAAGGTTCTCCTTAAGAGTTGAAGCAATTAATAAAAAGTAAAGTTGTGGAAGTGAAAATGGCAGTTTTGACTTGGATCGTCCTTCAATATGTGAGTTTGCTATCGCTTTTTCCTGTGTTCTAGAAAGGCAGCAACTGACTTGCAGCCTCCCCCTTCATACATAAAGCTGACTCAGACCTTTCTCAATTCTCATTGCCGTTTTTCTCTTTCTCTGTTCGGCTTCTAGCTTCCCAATTTTTTTCTCTTTGGAATTTTCTTGGTTCCTTTTGCAGTTTCCAGCAGTTTGTCACACCTTCATTTTCCATGTTAACCTGATCAACCATCAATATTTTGTGTTTCAAACTTGCTTGATTTCATTATCTCTTTATAAAAATTACCGAATGTGTTTTGTTTTATTACTATGGTTTTTGATCGCTAGCTTTTCGATCATTACAATAGTTTTGATTGACAGTTTTAGTACAGTAAATTTTCGGTTCTTTTTCTAAGTCCAAATTTTGGTTCCTCCTAAGTTGTTTTTTTTTTTTTTTTTTTCTTCCTTGGGTTGGGCATCTCTTGTCCTCAAAGAAAAGAACTGTTCTTGGAGTGACAGAAGAATCACTTTTCTTGAGCACAAAGACTTTTGAGTTTTCTTGAAACTTATAGAGGTATATCTCTCTCAAATTAACTCCCTGTTTTTCCAAAAATGAAGGCCGAAAACAACAATCCGGCTATCTCATTCTCAAAGCTCTTTAATGCACAATTGCACTTTTTCAAAGTCCTCTCTTATTTCCTTCTCTTTGGCTGTGGGCTATCTCTCGGAGTCATACTCAGTTTTCATCTCAAGAACTTTTCACTTGATCTATATATCACACAATTGTCTATGAATACAATATCACTACCACCGTTGGCACCGCCACAATCATTTAATCCGGCTACTGAAACAACATCTCACGTTGGTAGAGTTGGATTGACAGAATTTCTCAAGCCACCAAATGTAATGCATGACATGGATGATAAAAAGCTCCTATGGAGGGCTTCAATGACTCCCCGAATTCCTGAATATCCATTCGATCGACTTCCTAAAGTCGCTTTCTTGTTCTTGACCAAAGGGCCTGTTTTATTGGCTCCATTGTGGGAGAAATTCTTCAAAGGACATCATGGGATGTATTCAATCTACGTGCACTCCAATCCTTCTTTCAATCTATCAGAGCCTAAAGATTCAGTCTTCTATGGCAGAAGAATTCCAAGCAAGGTTAGCTTTTATTTTAATTTATTTATTATTTATGTCAGTACTGTTTCTGTGTTGATGTCTTTTAATAACAACTTTTATTAAATGGTAAAATTCAGTGTCTTTTCAATAAGCATCACTTTATTCTTCCATTAATAATAATAATAATAATAATAATAATAATAATAATAAATTAACAAATACAAAAATTCACTTTTGGGCTAATTAATAAAACAAATAGTAAATTTCGTTTGGCCGGCAATGAATTCTTAGGAATTCACCATTTGCACTGTATTTTGGCTCTATTGAACTACAACGCCTTATTGTTTGATCATTGTTTTTAAAAGAAAAAAAGAATTCAAAGTACTCAAAAGTGGAGAAGTTGAATTTCTCCAATCATTTTTTTTTTATATATATAAATTTTGGTTGACCTGAAGAGATTCAGAAGCTGTAACCAAACCAGTATAATTATTAAGCCACATAAAAGATGTTTTTTTAAACATTTGATATATATCAATTAATCGAGCATTTTGTAGTAAGATTTTTGTCCTTTTATTTATTTATTTCTCCTACACCTGATCATGCAGGAAGTAGAATGGGGAAATGTGAACATGATTGAAGCCGAGCGTCGCCTTCTAGCCAATGCACTGTTGGATTTCTCAAACCAAAGATTTGTTCTTCTGTCGGAATCATGCATTCCACTCTTTAACTTGTCAACTGTCTACTCTTACCTCATCAACTCTTCCCAGAGTTTCGTGGAGTCGTATGATTTAAATGCCTCCGCTGGCCGTGGCCGATACAGGCGGAGAATGAACCCTCAAGTCACTCTTGATCAATGGAGAAAAGGGGCCCAATGGTTCGAGATGGACCGAGACCTTGCCATCGAAGTTGTTTCAGACCAAACATATTTTCCAGTTTTCCAAAAGCATTGCAAGGGCGCTTGCTATGCTGATGAACATTACTTGCCAACATTTGTGACTATGAAATTTGGGGAGAAGAACTCCAATAGAACTTTAACATGGGTTGATTGGTCCAAACGCGGGCCTCACCCAGCTAAGTTCTTAAGGACAGAGGTGACAACTGAATTTTTGGAGAGATTGAGGAGCGGAAGCCATTGCCAGTACAATGGAAATACTACAAATATCTGTCACTTGTTTGCGAGAAAGTTCGCGCCCGATGCTTTGTACAGATTGTTAAAATTTGCACCAAAGCTCATGCAATTCCATGAATAATTATTCAATTCATACAAAGGAATTACCATTCTCTATTCTTTTTTTTTTTTTTTTATTCATCTGGGTATAAACATTGTTACGTTGGTCATGACACCACATATTTGATTTTTGAGACAATTATCACAAACTCTTATTGTGATATCTATCAAGTTGCAAAATTTAAATTGAAAAAAAAAACAAAATTTTTAATAAAAATCAAATTTATCCAATTAAAATATTAAAAAAATTATTTATTATTAATTAAAATATTATGATTGTAATTAAATCACATCAAAATTTCATGATAACTCTCAATAAATCGAATCCCTAACATCTGCACAACGATAATGCAGTATTGGTTTTTCCCAAAAACATAGAAAGCTTTATTCATTAATTGAAAGATAGATCATGTACAGAACAACAAGAGACAATGGAATGCTAAGTCATTTGTGTTAAAATAAATATTAGAAAAATATTAGAGAATAAAGATTGAGAAGTTACATCACTTTTTTGAGATTTTATATGCAACAAAACCCTTAACACTCCAAGTAAGAAATGAAAATGATAGAATAGAAAAGTTCCTTTTATAGATAATAATTAGTTTGTTTTAACCTGCGCAATATGCTGGATTTTTTATTATATTTTTCGTAATTTTAAATATTTTAGTTAACTTTTTTTTATTATTATTATCTTTATGAAAATTTTACAAATTCTTATTGATCTACTATATATAATTATACATTCATAAATGCTAAGCTACATCTAAATGACAATTTACACGTAATATATTATAAACCATATTGTTTTTAGTCAATATTTTTTTTTTGTAAATTTTCAAAGAATTTTAAAATCCTTTCTTTTTAAAAAAGAAATTATTTATTTCAATTCATTTGCTAAATACAAAAACGTTTGTTATTGGTTCTTTCTTGTTTGATAAAAAAATAAAAATCTAGTGTTTAAATAATTAAGATTAATAATTATTTTATGATAATATTGATAAGGATTTATATAAAATTATAATATGATTTGATTAAATTGTGAGACATTTTCTATTAATAGAATATTCTTAAACCATTGAATCATAATATTTTATAATTTCTTTTATGTACATGATTTGATTGAACAACAAATCATAGTAATTGTTAATTTGGTGATATTATCAATTGCTTTTTATTAGTTCTTATTTTTGACATACTTCAAGTTATTATTATACAAATATATTGGCCTAACAATTATTGCTATAGCAACAAAAGTTATTTTCAGATAAAAGGAAAACAATTATGCTTAAAAGCATATGACATTTCTTTTTTGAAATATTATTTATTTTTAATCTTCTTTGATGTAGTTGATTGAGTATTTTTGATGGTTTAAATTTGGTATCATTAATTCTTCTCATACCATTCATTGTAGAAAATAGGGGAGTAATAGTGAGAAAGTAATGCAAAAGGAAATTGCATTATGTAAGTTTACATATTAATTTTTCAAGATAAAAAATATATAATAATAAAAGTAAATATGCAAATGATTAACAGAGAATAACAAAAAGTTGAAAAATAAAAACATTAAATAATGAATAAAACAAATTGAGTAATGGACTAAAGAGAAACAAATAAATTAACCAAATATATAATATAGAAATATTTAAGTTAGAACACAAACGAAATATGCAAGTTGAGAATTAATATACAGTTGAAATTTTGAGATTTTTTGAATTTATGCATAACAAATATCCATCTTAACTAAATATATATTAAAAATAGGATAAATTACATATATAAATCCTATGGTTTATGGCACTTTGAATTTACCTCTTAAGGTTTAAAATGTGACACATAATCACTCTGAGATGTTATTTCATGGCATTCCATTACTATTCATTGACGTCGTTAATGTCTGAGTTGTATAAACCCCAAGCTCTTTCCCCATCTTTTTTATTTCTTTGATATCTCAAATTAAAATTGTTGAAAGAAAAATTAGTGTTAAAGTATGAACTCTTTTCAACCTTCAGCAAGTGAGGGATCAAATGTTGAAAAAGTATGTTATTGTGATGTTGAATCACCTATAAAGACATTTGGAACAATGAATTAACAATCATGGGAAAAAATTTTATGGGTGTCACAAATTTGAAGTGAGATGTATTTCATTCAATCTTGAAATAGTTTGTAGGATTTAAAAATAATATATTTAATCTTACATTTCTTGTTAGGAAATACAAAAATGTGATTTCTTCTTGTAGGTGGATGAATTATCATGTGATTTTTGCAAAAAAAAAAAAAAAAGATACTTAAATTTGAAGAAAATATCAAGAAAATGGAATATAAGATTTCCATATCAGATTTAAAAAAACAAGAATTATTCGAAGAATTGATATTGTGTTCAGCAAAAAAGATGAGTTTGTAAGAAAAATTAGTTGAAATACAAAAAAATGAGCTAAAATTGAAGGAAGAATTTGCTGAAACTCAAATTAGAGGGAAAAATGGATGCTTTTAATTTGTTTGAGTGTTCTAGTAATGTTTATGATAATTTTGTATGGACATTTTCATTTAACAAGTTGTAGAAACCAATTTCTAGAATTGAGGAATTGATATTCCAGTATTAATGTTAGTAGAAAGGAATTAATACTTTAGGTGTACCAAATGTTTGTAAAAATGACTCAATGAACTTTGTAGTTGAAACGTGGTTAATATATACAATTTTCTTCTATTTCAGTTATTTTATTTTATTTGTGACACAAACACTAAACCTATAAAAAGTGAATTTCCATCAACACATTCACAAACACATTACACAAATTTATCCAACATTATGTTTGATCAAGAAACATATCAAAAAATATAAAAGCAAAAAATTCATATTGATATAAAGAACAAGTTGTGCTTAAACTAAGCAACATATAAGATGGCCAACATGTATACATCATGAAACCTATAAAGTTATTGGCTATAAATAAAAAAGGATTATATCCTAAATTGGTTCATAAACTTTCACCCAAAAAGAACTATAATCTAAATTGGTTTACAAACTTTCACACGAAAATAACTATACCCTAAACTAGTTCCTAACTTTAACCCAATAAGAACTATACATCAATATACATCATTGGAATAACATGTACAAACTATTCCTAGATTACGTCCAAACTGCTTGGCTACTAGTTGTTTGGTTGTCAGCTCTTTGGTTACTAGTTTCTTGATTTATGCTAGTAATGTGCTTGCCAACTGATTGCCTACCATATGCATGGTTATGGGCAAAAGTAGCCATACCCCTTCCTTTAATTGGAGTAACTTTTTCCTTAAAAGTTTCTTTTTTTTTTCTTTTGTAACATTTCTAACAATTCTTCCCATTGAACTTGTGCCAAACTCTAAAGTTGTAATAGTAGCTGAAACTTTCATACTAACATTGGTAATACCTTTTCCTTTTTACCAACATTGGCATTAGTTCTTTCTCTTGTACCAATATTGGTAGTACCTCTTTCTTTTGAACTAAAAGAACTAGCATTTCTTCCTTTACCAACATAAAAAAAAAAACTTCTTTGGATTTGCTTCTACCTCTATTAGTGGTAGCAGTAGCCCTTCCTTTTGAACTTGTCCCTAAAGAAGATGTTGAATTTTTGTTTTGGACAACTTATCAAAATAGCCATATAAAGGTTAGAAAATAATTTACATTTATGTGTGTATATCATAATAAATCTTAAACTATAACTTGATTATAAGGCTTTAACCCCTTTAACCTTATCTATTTTTACCATGGAGTCTCTACTACCACTAATGCATTGCAATATCTCACATTATGTCCTTCTTAACCACAGTTTCCAAATCTTATTGGCTTATTCCTCCTAGACAATTTGTAAGGATTTTGAGATTCATCAAGTGCTTTCTTTCTTAATTTTTTTGGTCTGCTTAGTGGTTTATAAATGATTGGATGGCTTAAATGACAATTATTTGTAACCTATTCACGTTATCCTAGAATAGGATTAATAATGCTATCATACATCTTTATGTAGGTCTCCTTAGAATAGCAAGAATAAACGTAACTTTTTAGTTTCTCTCTGTTCTTGAAAATAGTTGAAACAACATGCTTACAAAAGATTCTAGCCAAATCTCAATACTTGCAAATACAACTTTGTTCGACCAAGTTCATAACATGACTAGTTGTATCATATTCAACTTTATACTTCAACCTACCAACTAGAACTAAAAAGCAATTGAATGAATCTTTTTTTATCCTTTCAAGTTTTCCTGAACATCTAAATAGATAAGGCCTTTGTGTGGCTTTATTCTAACTCTTTTAGCATAAAACCTTTTCATTAATCTTTTCCTAATCCATTATAACATGCTTAGTATAGGCAAATCCTTAGCTTGTAATATGTAAGCATTAATTGACTTACTAAGATTATTAATCAATACATCACTCTTAGTTCTTGGGCTAAAATGAGATCTTGCCCACTTTGATAGTTGCAATCTATTTACCCAAGTATAGGCCTGGCCTATTTTGTCAAGCCCTTTAAGATGTGACATGGCTTTTTCCCATTCTTTAACTGACCCAACACTTATTGATTTCATAAAGCTTGTTTATACTCTTTCCTTTTGAATTGTCATTTAAAATTAGTATACAAGTGCTTCAAAACAGAATTTATGCTCAACATTAGGATATACTTCTTGAAATGTTTGCTCTAATCCTTATAAAATAAAAAAAATAATATTATTAGAAACAAAAACATAAAAGATATTAGATAAATAGAGATGCAACAAGAAATTTCATACCTTTTGTTGGTCAGATATGAATTATAATCACAATTCATGAAAATTGTCAAGTTTTTCATGTAATAAATTAAGAAACCAAGATCAAGTTTCTTCATTCTCTTATCCAACCACTGCATAACAAAACGGGAAAAAGTTTCATTCCCATTTTGAGCAACATCACTGAGTAATTGTCCTTTAAAATGACATTTTAAGTAATAACCATATAGTTCTATTAGCCTTCTACATCCATTAATAAATCACTTCTTCTATGCATCAAATATAATAAAGATTCATTCAAATCTAGGAACAAAATCTCTAGGAACACTAGTTTTAGCCTTACAATATTGAGATTACAATTTCATCAATGCAAAGTTCCTTGGATTT